TAGAAATTGAAAACGATGCCCTCAGACTCGCATGCCAGCACCTCCAGAGACAAATACGCAGCCTTGAGATTCAGCTGCTTCCTTCTGCTTTTAGCACTATCTGCAAGTCAGTTATACGGACTGTTGAAGAACGAAACCAGACCGAAGTCGGTCGCCCGCCAAGCCCTTTTACTAGCACTCCCCCCAGCAACGTACTTGCTGCAGATACGGCTAGAGAAGAAACTCAGCCTGCTGCTCAACCGACACCAGTTGAAGAACCACTCCCCATCCCCGAACCCACCGTCGTCTTCAAACGAAAGACCCGTAGAGGGGCTACCGTGCACGGAGTGTCAAAGACTAGAGCTTCTAAGGGAAAGAAGCGTGAAGTCATTGACCTCACCGAAACCCCCGACGTCATCACAGTAAAGCAACCCCAGTTTTCCGCGGACAATTTCGTCTGCCGCATCTGCAAGAAACTTGGGCACCGACACAAGAATTGCCCTGAATATTACTGTCGCATCTGCCAGGCCCAGAAACCCGGCCATCTTTCTATTTACTGCCCTTACGCTGCGAAGAAAGAACTATTCCCATTGGTTTATACCGATGAAGGCTTCTATGAAGCACTAGCGGCATGGGAGGCCAGAAAAGATGAAGAACTTCTGGAAGAAATAGAAAGGGCGAACCGGGATTACGCCACCAGGTATAATGAACCAGAGTTCTGCAACGCTGACGCGGATCCCATCCACTACGACTACATGAACGAGTACTGCGACACCGAAGAATAATTGAAGTCGGAGACTTCAACCGTAACAGGGGGGTAATGTTACAATAACATTTAGAGAGGCCCCTATACTCATTTTCCTTTCGCTTCTTAAACGGGCCGTCCGTACCACGCTTATCTCTTATCATGCCTATCTCTTATCTTGCCAAGCGGGCTGTCCGCCTCTTCCTTGCTTCTATCTTGATAACACATTTACAAGTTCTGCTTGAACACTGGTATATAAACCTACCTACCCATAGTTGTATTCTTTACTTTAATCTACTGGGTTTTACCTGGAACATTGTCCTTCAGTAAGGTCTCCAACCTTACTGTCTAAAAACCACTATTCTAAGGGAGTCAGCGACACTCGCCTTAGCCAGAACCCTTGATCTCTCAATCGAGAGCAGACTCACGTCTATCTGGTATTCTGCCGATTGTCTATTCAGACAGAGATAGCTCGACTTATCCCAGTCGTAACAGATAGGGGAGCCCAGATAGTGTAAATAGGATGGATGAGAGAGCTCAAATATTATAAATGGGATATTCATATTATAGTAAAGGGGCAGATAGAAGAGCCCAAATAGTGCAGAAAGGTATTGCTTCCTATGAATGTACAAATTATGGATGTTAATAGGCAGAAAATGTTCTAGAAAGGACCATCTAATAAATGCACTAGAATATCCCTGAGATATACTAAAGTAATTCCAGATGAAATTGGAAGATATCATAAATAGATATTAGGGATAGTCCAAATACTATGTTCAGTATAGACTAAGACACCTCAGTACATAGGCTAAAATATTGGAAATACTATTCTGAAATACACCTACTAGATCTTTTGCTAGCTACAAACCAATGGATCTAAGAGTTACTTTTAAGTAGTTGACTGAAGTGAAGAGTGCTTAAACTACCTTTTATATAGCTATGTTCTTTTTACTTCACATCTGCTAGCAAGCTATTGTGGATAGAGTTAGAGCAAATGTAGCATAATGATAATAATTGGATGTATTTATTACCATGACCGACAGTGAGCGACCTGATTCTCTGCTTGCATAAGTTTGATGAGGGTGTCAATTGTTTTATCCTTCTGGAGTTTCAAGTACTCAGCCATATTTGCAACATGCTTTGCTGGATGACCATGAAAATTACTATTAATTAAGGTTATAGCAACCAAAATTACAGGTGCACTCAAGGTCTTATGTTATTGAGGCAATCAGTTTTGTATTTTTCCTAGAATACCCCTCCAGTTCTATTATGCACATCCAAGTATCTATAGGCTCAGAACCCATATGTTGTAAGTTTTCATATAGGAGATCCAAAGCTCCTTAAGGCTTTTCATAGTTTTTTAGGCATTGTCCACTAAGGTAAATGATGGTTGAAATTGAATCTGTAGTTTCTCATAAAAATCTCTGAGTTGGACATAACTGCATGAAATCAGTGAATGGGAAATGAATATACAAGATATTTAGAAATCTCCTATTAGCCTTATCAATTTCTTTCTTAGCTGTCAATTTAAATTGAGTAATTTGTTCAGATAGTTCTGTTTTCTGAAGTCCTGATGAAACAACTCCTGGTTCTGTTAGGAGAGATTAGTGACAAGTTTAGTCTTAATACTAAGCTAGTATTTTAGTTTGGTGCTATAATTCTGCTGTAATAGGCTTCACTATGATTGCTAGCAAATTTTGTAATTGTAAGAACATCCATCATATCACTCTTAAGGGCACCTAAACCTGAACCAATATCTTCTGTAGTAGTCTTTAATGGGGAATTTTAATGATCTTCAGAAGAATGTTAAGAGTGTTTTTATAAACATTGTAAATTGCTTGTGTCCATTGAGATCTGGAAAAATGTCATCAAATAATAACATATCAAGTACATATAATCACTGCAGTTCACCTTCTTAACCTCCATGCTAGGACACTACAATAATATAACATATTGATATTATCAGAACTAACTTGAGAATATATGTGGCATACCCTTGCTGAAGATCCACCCTTTGTGTCATAGAAGGTAAATAATTGAGGTAATTGTTATGATGTTCTATAGTATTAAAGTCTGTATGGTGTATACTACTACATCACATAATACAGTGACATATCTCCTTACTTACTGTCCAGTCCACCTTGACATTTCTGCCAAATGACATGGACCAACCCACCATGGGCTCACATTATAATTGTAAGTCAGTGTCATGGAGTGGGCCCTATGTTGTTGTGTACCTAATAGCTAGGATGAGGCCCATGGCTCATATTCTTTGAAGCTTTGGCATGGGTCCATGGGTCTCTGGATTGAAATACATTTTACTTACAGGTAGGCCTGAGGTATTGCAGAAAAGTGATTCCTCAACAGTCTCGAGTGGGCCCGCAAGTTTCAGTTGTCACTAGAATACTATTGTGGTGATATTATGGGCAGTGAAAAAAAATGAGACACACTGGAGAATTCAAAAGTGAATGGCCACCAGCAAACATAATTAGATGTGGCAGCTGGCAAATGCATGCGCAGATGTTGCTGGTAAGTCAGCAGCTTGCGCTCGTGATATGCCATGGTTGAATGTCATCTCAGATTTATGGGCAGCGATGCAATATGATTACTGCAGGCGACAATTGCATTACTTTCACACTGGGGATTGGCAACCTCACACAGTGATTGTCCATTGAATCACATTGCTGAACAAAGGAATGAGCCCATTCATGCAATGCTGAATGGATGGTGGGCTGGAGAGAAAGCTATAACACATGCAGGTGGGCTTAGGCACAGAATGTTCACGCTCAGGCAGGCCACATCTCAAATTGCTAGGATGGGCCCACAGAGTGTGTATGCATACTACACAATTGGGCCCACAACACTGGCGTGGTCCATACAATCCAGCCCAGCCTGTCTACACCTAAACCTACATTATCGAGTGGACCCTGATGCCATTCATGTGTGACATAGGCTCACCATTGGTATGTGGAGGCAATGGTAAGCCTGAGTTCAGTGCCTTATACAGTGGTGGGCCCAGGCCTAGTATGTTAGAAATCAGATAGGTCTAGAACCTGAAAAATTCTGACGTCTAGTACCATGGCACTATGAGCAAACCACCAAACAAATGACAGGTGTTTACTAGCAAAATGAAGTTTTCCAAATAAATAAAAATTATCCCTATGTACCACATCTGCCATGCCCCTAGCTACAACAGAAGGCATCAGCAATTATTAACTTGTACCTGGAATAGTTGCCTCGGGGTACATTAACAAATTTATGAACATCATCCCTTATGTACCACACCCAGCTAACTCTGTCGCCATACACCCTGTCTACCCCATGTCTAACAATTCTCCCTGAAGTACCTACCATAACACCTGAATTGTAGGCAATTTTAATGCCAATATTGGGCAATTTCATTCACACCGGTCTATAATTGCCTATACTGGTCATGATATCAAACCATTCAACAAGGGATTGAGAGTCGCAGTGAAGCAGTGAACAACAATTGCACATGGTCGAGGAATCCCGAGGCCTTTGGATAACTACCCTCCGCTGCTTTCTGACCTTACCAGTCTGATGGGAAGGCGACTTGCCAGATGCAACTGATGCTACCATGTTGCCATCTTTGTTCTTCCATGCTTTGAACATGAATGTTGGACCTTTGCCTGTCTCCTGCCGAGCATGCCAGAAATTGAGCAAGGCCATGGTGTCCCGATTTTGCAACTTGGAAGGCTCCTTCAAGTCAACATCCACCGGAAGATACTTTCTTGCCACAAAGTCATCCTGATGTTGTAAGATGGCGCTCCATGGCACAACTGCCTTGTCAATCCCAGAACAGATCCCTGTGTCCATGCATTTAACAATGTCTCAGCTGCAGCACGGATAGACTCATGATAGTGTGATGTAAGAAAAGCCCTCACTATGGCCTTTTTATCCTTGAGTTTCATGTCTGTGATGTCCGGAAGCAACAGCATCCCATTCCCGTCAGTTTCGAGCTCGAAGGCTGGTTTTCAGATTCTTTTGTGACCTCCCTTCACCTGTCGGCCTCCATCCCTTGCCCCAGCACCTATCATCACTAAGATCAACACATGTCTTCTCGTATCCACAATTCAAACACTCACCAAACTGGCTCGATGTCCTCCCAGTCCTTCATCTTTATGAAGCTGTCCCCATCTCCCAATGCCTCGTTATCATCATGCCTGCATGAAATATATTGATTGAGATGAAAGATCTGCAATGACCGATAAAATTCACTTACATCCCAAACAGCACCTCTCCCTGTTCATTCTTCCAGGCTGACAACACAAAAACTCTCATCCTGCATTGCCTCCACATTTTGTTTGAAAAGTGCTCCATATATGCAGGTCCCTTCATTTGGGCGACCTGTGCTTGTATCTCGGGAGGAGGATAGTTATTGGACCATTCTTCGGCCGTTTCTTTTGCCTTCTCCAACTCGTCGTTGGACAATTCAGCCATGACTCCCTTCACAGCAGCCTGATAATGCTTGAACATATCCGGATCTCCTGGCTTTGCCTCTGACTTGTCCTCGATCCTCTTTAGCACCTCTTCCCACTTCTGCTGGTAGATCACCATCCTAGGTGTCCATTTCCTCCCATACTTCAGGATGTTCTTCCTTTCCTTCTTTTTCTTGTTGTTGTACAACCAAGTCTTGTACATCTGAGTATTGAAGGAAGAATAAGACATTAAAATGTTGGTTTTTCAACACAACAAGGATGTATCACCTGCTTCCTCTTTTTCCATTGTCCTTAGTCTACCTTAGGAGCAAATAACCTGGCAGCCCTAGCTATGGAAGTGAATACTCCCTAGTTCTTCAGCTCCGAAATTTCATTTCCCATGAGCTTCTGTGTCTGTGGTTGATGCGCCCTATGTCTTCCCAAAGTCAAGTGAGTGGAATGACCTGATCTTGCCATGGTAAATCAGATTGCAGAATGTGCTGAGGGTGAGCAAGGTAGAAGTAATAATGGTTTGAAGTTCAACTTTGAGCAAAGCCTAACAGTTGGTTAATCAACCCATATCAGACATGATGCCATTAATGGAAATAAATTTGTAATGAACCAATAAGACTGCATAACATCACATTGGAATAACTATTCGTACGACCTTCCTTAGCTAATGCTTTTTTTGCAACATTAGAAAATAAGATGAAGATAGGTTGATGCACCCCACTGAAAAAGTCCCACAGGGTAGAAGCAAGAGGGAGCAAAGGTAGGAAGACTTGGGTCAAGGTCCCACTTGCAAGTACAAGATGACATGCCTACAGGTCCATGCCTAACTCTCCCTTGGAATCACCAACACTTCAGCCTGTTCAAGCACCACCTCCTTAGGAAGACTTTCTGACAATACTTACGAGCAAGACCAAGACTCATTTGAGCCTTTGCAACTCCCAAAAATGATGGCAAGTTAATGTAAAATGTTGGAGTGTCATTCAAACATTGCTAAGTATAAAAAATGCAGAGCCAGAATGACTACCTTAGGCAATAGCTGCCAAGGCAGGAATCATATTTATATCACCTCCTGGATTGAGAAGCTCCACCAGAAGATAGGAGATGTGTCATGTGCAACCAGGATGGGGTCTACAAATATCAAGATTGTCTTGGGGAGCCACTCTATTGCACCGGTTGTTACAGGAATCAACATCGTTGCAATCCTTTTCACTGGATCAGTCAATGGAATGGTCAATTCTTCAAATAAAGTTGTCTCGCTCATGTCAGACTCGTCATACACCTCGGTCATGATGGCAAATAATGTCTGGTACTCAGGGATAGGTGGGATTTGTTCGAAGGAGACGAACCTGAAGACCAGTTTGAGCCTGAAGACCTACCATCTGTATCAGGACCCGAGTTCCAGCTGAAGAAAAACACCATGGTCATAGTTGACAAGTACGGAGTTCATCGCCTCGAGGTTCGATGCTGTGATTGTCCAAATGCCATGAGTCCAGATATTCAAATGTTTCAACATGGATTTTTCCTTACATCATTCAACAGGCCAAAGACTGTGTTCACCTTCAGAGTGCTTGACAATTTTCTATTGGACAACCTTGAATGCGGCACCTCAGCGATGAACTATTACAGCAAGCTCTGGTGAATGAACTTGAGCATGTTTCCTCACCTTGTTCCAGTAATGCTATATCTCCTTCATCTAAAGGACATTATATTGACAAAGCACTTGCCAAGGACCGATACAGAGAGCTCATGAAAGTTGCTCGACAGTGGAGGCAGTTGAAGACCATGAAATGGTATGGCTTTGGCCATTGTTCTGACACCCCGAATGCCGGAGATCTCGCACTGTTCTGCCCGGCATGTCCTCAGCCTGGGATTAATGTATTCTTGTCAGGGGATGAATCACTTGATGAGTGAGTCTTATTCAATACCGAAGTAACCTCAGCGATAATAAGAACTCTAAGCTGGAAATACACTTGGTCATTTGTAATGGATGGAAATTTCAAAGCCAAACATCTGCATCCCATCAAGCCATTTGATGAAGTTTGGCTTTCTGATGGGCTGGGGTTTATGGTGGGAAAGGAGAGGTATAAAAATCATCTTGCAGAGGCAGCTGACACTGTGGAAAAATCAAGCTGCAACAATCACTAGGCAGTAAATTAAGCAAATGCAGCTCGGCACAAATTAGAGTGCACGGGTATCGGGGGAGTTGCCTGTGCCCGACACAGTTGCTTTGTCTCTCATGCGATGGTAGATTTACAGAAAGGCGAAAGGCAAGCTGAACATTTATGAGTTGATCATGTATCGTTTGTGTCATATCCCGTATTCCGGACCTACATCCGACAATATTCCCACGCCTCATCCGGACCTTCGGACGCCCTATCCATGTCTCCAGTCCTCTACCCATCCAGATCCCTGCACCTCTGCACATCCACATCCGCGCATCCATGTCCAGATCCCTTTACCTCCGTACATCACACCTCCATACCTCCGCAGCTAGCCTGCATCATTCATCCTTTGTCTATTGCCCTAATATCATATCCCGTATATCCACGCTTCTTGTCCGGACATCCGGTCCGGTCCGATCCGATCCGATCCGATATACGATAAGCTTCCTAATTCAATTCCTGTGTATATAACGTTGACACAGCCTATTCCTCTATTCGGTATTCCTTGTCCTCGGTATCTCGGTTATACTTACTACCGGTATGCTTACTGATCCGTTAACCTATGCTTCATTTCCGACTCGCGCTTGATAACTTTGCTTATGCTTCATACATAGCCTCGGACGCTTGCTTACTGATCTTTCCGTTATTTCCTTAGTATATAAACTCTTGTATATGTCCTGTAGTTCCTCAGTCTGAATATCATATTAGTCCTCGCACTAGATCTCACTCTAAGTCCTCACATCAGTTCTAGTCTATCGACTTAGTCAATATCCATCTCGGGCCTAGGGAGAAATTCCCTAGGCCAGAGCTCCGCTTATCCGCTCATCCGATCCTCCGAAGTTTCCGGACGTTCGTCCGAAACTTTCCCGCGGTCCTCCGGACCTATTCTGCTTCGGACTTTGTCCTTGCAGCCTTTCCTCTGTTTGCTTCTACTTAGGACTTGTCCTAAGTAGCCATTACACGTATCCGTATCAGGACGAAACCTCATCGTAATTTCCGGAAGTTCCTCCGGAACTTTCCCGCACTCGTCCGGAAGTTACTTGCACTCGTCCGGAAAGTCCTTCCGAACTTTTCCGCGCTTCGGACGTCCTTCGGACGTCCTTGGACTTTCTTCGGACATCATTCTGAAATTAAGGGCACATACTCGGGTAAGGGGCGCAGCGCACGAGCTGAAGCCAAGCCCCTCAGAATCAGTCCTACCCTTTGTGCATGGTCTTAACAGTTTGCAGACAAATGAACATGGACTATGCCCTTTGTGAGGCTGCCCAGCACAACATGGAAGACATTACCAGGGCTGTCACCTTCTATGACATCAACTGTCAATACAACAAGCACTTTGGGGTTTGGGTGGATCGAAGCTAATTTCTTGAAATGGTACCAGGATTGACCATCATTCCTGGCATCGGGTTGTGGCATGTGCATGGACATCAGGACAGCTGCTATGTCTGATATGCGTCGAATTTCATCAAAGGCATTGGCCGGATAGATGGAGAGATCATGGAGACCCTATGGGCATGTCTCAACCTAATTTCCCCTGCTGCTCGGGGAATGTTGTCCCCACATTAACAGGAATGTCTTGATTTTCAGATGAATGATTCCAACTTCTGCAAGATGATCCGCATAAAAAGGACCTCTTGCCGTAAATACAAGCAGGCAAAGAATGGCATTGCCGAAAGTGAAAAGGCTTTCGACAGACTCAATGAAGCAGCACCCGCCAATTTAAAGACAGAATAGTTAGCCAGTGAGAGGATCACTCAGTCCAGCAGAATAAATGATCCTGCAGCGATGGATGTATACAAGATTAATATCAAGAAGAGTAAGTTGACCATGCCTCCATTGAAGTCCAAACTAATGTTGAACTCAGCGCCAAGCAAAAAGGAGATTGAGCTTAGACTGCTAGAGGACAGTAATGCCCGTAATGCAGCACCTTCTTGGAGATCTGTGGTGACATGGATATTAATGGGGTTGGCTATTGAGATCGTCTCCAAGGCCAGATAGACGGATTTACTCAGTCTGCTCTCATGCATCTCAGAGAGGGATTTGATACAGATGACGATCCTGACAACTTGAACATAGACATTCTTGATGATCTTGATGATGACCTGGATGATTTCACCGAGACATCTGATGATATATGGACAAACTCCCCTGAGCTCACTGTGATCCCATTGCCATCAAACCTTGGGGTAGATTGATGCAGACACTTTATGGCAGAGGATTTCATTCCGCTGGAGATGTCGCTTCGTGCAGGGTAGGCAAATGATGCCCTTCACAACCTCCGAATTCACTTGTGCAACAAGGCAATCCTGTTCCAAACAACAGTTAGGCAAGCCAAATCTCAAGCCCTGAAAACTTGAGCTTGGTCCCAGGTGATGTCAGTGCAGCAGGTGGTGTCCCTCCATGCCAGTATATATACCAAGACCTGGAAGCAAATGATGAAACTTGAGCCCAGGAAAGACCAGCTTGAGAAATACAAACACCTGCTGCGTGATCAGCTAAAAATCAGCACTGCTGTCAGAGATCCAAATGCCCGAGGTCAGCGAAACAAGTCCCTCGCTTGGTTCTGGTCTGTCGAAGTAGAGTTGGGGGGTCCTAATCAATTATGGAATGAGGAATGTGAGTTCGAGCATGCTTGACACACTTGACGTTGAGCTGAGCTGACCCATCTGAAGTTTACTGAGTTCATTGGCTTCGGGCAAAGGCACTACAGGACCGATGGAAGGAAGAAATGATATTGGTCCAATTGGAGATGGATTGGACATGCAACTTTTTTATGTAGAAAGCAACCCAGTGGGGTGACCAAATGCAGGAATCATTAGTGAAACGCCTTCCAGGTCATGCATCTTACTCCGGAAGGCAATCCAGAATGTATTCATTACTGGCACAGGATGCCCAGGCAGCATTTCAAGACCTGCAGACCATGCTGATAGATGCTTTAGATGAAAGTCTCGGGAATTGGCCAGGTCAGCCCATGTCGGAGTTTGAAAAATTTATTCATCCATCAGGGACTGATATCTTCACATCTGAACCAACTCTCATTGTGCTTGCCAGTATCATATTCCTGCATAAGCCATGCCTGAATTACATCCTGCTCCTGCATCCACTTCTGACACTCAGAATTCCCTGAGTGAATACTGACCCCTCACTCTCACTCTTGCAGACATTTCAGCTACAATGTCAATGTCTGCATCACGCATCTGAGCATGTGTCTCCCAATATCAGTTGGAGGCTTTAAACAACAATGTTCCTTCTTCGGCTCAGATCATGCACTTCAAAGCCAGGTTGCAATGGGAGATAACTGTAAGACACTGATGACTCTGGCGTTCAATGCTGATATTTCTGACAGACTTTTGTGACACCGATCCTGCATTACTCAGCTGCAAGGAACATCATTTTGGTGATTCCCAGGCCAGTCGCTCATATTCTTCAGTTGGTTCCCGGGCACACGTGGAATATGGTTCTGGACCACATCTTTTCATCCCACCTATGTGAGTTTCATGATGTCGCAGATCTGGGAGATCCATCCTGGATTGTATCCAACTATGATACTCCATGGTGGATGAGACAAACTACAATCCCGAATGAACCATGGCAATGGGATCAGGTAATGACTTGCTGTATCTTTCACTACCAGCATTGGCTAGTAAGAGTTTTATTCAATTTCCTTGATTCATGACTAATATGTTCTAGGGTGATGGGACTGAGGTGGATTAGAGAACACCTCCTGACATTGCTTGAGGAGCCACAGGCAGGCATCTGTGATAAGATGACAGAGATGCAGATGTATGCCACCATCCTAGACAGATTGAAGATAGGCAAGGGAGAGCAGCCCTAGTCACTGAGTTCAGAATTTTGAAGTCCATGTTCCATACATGATGTAATGAGTACTGAAAATCACATATCAACTTCCAAATATCTAACATAATATTATATTCCGAGTCCTGAATATCAAGTTCCAGATGTCAAATATCTAGAATTCAATATTAAGTCCCAAGTATCGAGTTCTGAATATCGAGTTCCGAGCCACTGATATTGAGTTCCTGACATCATGTCCCTGATATTGAATTCTGAGTTCAGAATATCTAGTTCTAAGTGCCGAACATCAAGTCCCGATTACCAAATTCCTAATATTGAGTTCCTGATATTGAATTCCAAGGTCCGAATATTGAGTTCCGGGTTCCGAGTGTTGAGTCCCAAATACCTAATATCATGTCCCTTCTGAATATTGAGTTTGAAGTGTTGAATACAAAGTCCTGATTACCGAGTTCCGGATATCAAATTCCGAGGTCCAAGTATCAAGTTCCGAGTTCCGGATATTGAGCTCCGGATATTGAGTTCCGAGTCCTGAGTGTAGAGTCCCAAATACCTAATATCAAGTTTCTTCTGAATATTGAGTTCTAAGTGCCGAACATTGAGTCCCGATTACTGAATTCCTAATATTGAGTTCTGGATATTGAATTCTAAGGTCCGAATATCGAGTTCCCAGTTCTGGATATTGAGGTCCGGATATTGAGTTCCGAGTTCCGAGTGTAGAGTCCCAAATACCTAATATCAAGTCTTTTCCGAATATTGAGTTCCAAATCTCGAGTGTATATCAAGTTCCAAATATTGATTGCTGAGTTCCGAATGTTGAGTGCTGATTATCAAGTTCTGGATATCGAGTTCCGAGTTCCAAGTGTTGAGTCCCACATACCTAATATCAAGTCTCCTCCGAATATTGAGTTCCAAGTGCCGAATATCAAGTCCCAATTACCAAGTTCTGGATATTGAGGTCTGGATATCAAGTTCTGAGTTCCGAGTATTGGGTCCCATATCCCTAATATCAAGTTTTGGAAATATTGGTCCTCAATTATTGGTACTTGGCATTCCAGAGTAGGTACTATCACTGGTAACTACACTTTCTACTTGTTTGATCTTTTATAGGGTGGTCAGGGTGGGCAATCCACCCTAGCCCATCCACATGAGGGAACCCCGGCATAAATATGAACAGAATTCCTCATATACCATGCCCATGCAACCCAATCCCCTTCCACTTCATGAACCTCATTTCTAACAATCCTTCCAGAAAACGCAATCATACAGCCAGGATTGTACCTGAACTCCAGCTGAAGGCTTGGCATACTAATGTGAGCATTGGAATAATTCCCCACGGTGGTGAGAATATTGAAGCATTCCAGAATGGATAAATGGTCTCGATGATTCAGGGTTTGCCGATTGGAAATGATAGAGAGGGAGTTAAACACCAATGCCCAGTACTGGAGGGTCTCAGACATCTGTGGCAGTTCCTTGCTTTCTGCCTTTTCTCCGAGGTTTGCAAAGGTTTATAACCCTGCCCAGTACTGCTCCGGATGCATCACCCTGAGTGCCGCTGATGCGATGGCTGCCAGCCTCGCAATGGCCTTGAGGATTTTCTCACTGAATGGTCCCTTCAATGATGCAGATACCTCCGGATCTAACAAATTCTATATGTCAACCAACTTTATCCCCTCATGGCCAGGAGGACATCTCTCAAGCAACTTCTCCTCTATCTCTTCATTATGCCCAGTGTTCATCGGGGAGATCAATTTGCTATATCTTGCTATATTGATCTGCATCAGAACTGTGATGAAGGAATTTGAATAATCAAATGACTTTTCGGAATCTGCAGGAAGACACACTGGGATTTTTATGTGCCTTTATGAGGCAATCTACCAATTGATCACAAGCCATCACCAGATCAGTATCTAGGTTAGGAGAAGGTATCACCAGGTCTCCTCCTGTCTTCTCTGCATTGAATTTCTGTTTGGTATATATATATATATTTAAATCCAATTTGTGTCCATTGAGGGTATTACCCTATGTAGGACAGTACTTTCTAATCTATGGGACCCCCGGTGTCCCTTCTGATCTCTGAAGACGCGAATGCCCTGTTTGGTATATTTACATGCCTCATGAGTGACACTCAGGGCCCAAGTGCGCCAGAGAAGTTCATCGTCATCGTCTTCTGCTGCAGCCAGTTGTACAATAGCCAGGAACTCAAGTTGTTTAGCTGTAAACTGATGGTGCTTTAGGGGCTTGTGTCCGAGATGTTGTAGACGTGCCATGATATATGATGCATTGATGGTTGTAGGTACTGGAGACAAGTAGCATCCCCGCTCTCGCATTGTTGAAACTCTGCAATGACGAGCGCCAAACAACATACCCAATATATTATTTTATTTTTTGTTCCCCACGGCAATCTACACTCACTCGCTAAAAAATAAAATGAGACAAATAAAATGGAATTGAGTGGGGCTAATATATATCTGGGCCCACCCGTGTATGTAATAACAAGTACCCTCGGCATACCCGTCTATCTGATACCCACCTACCTTGGTACACCCATCTACATAATATCCAACTACCTTGGTCCATCCATCTATAGAATATCCATGTCCATCAGCCCACTCATCTACTCTACATATTCCCCACATGGGCCCACCCGCCTCCATCAGAAATAATATCCCTCCCGGCCCATCTGTCATAGTCAAGGATATTTTACCATTAGCCCATATCATACAGGATATTATGTATGTCAGTTCACTCGTATAATACAGAGATTTGTCACTGTAGTATGTGCTCACTCACCATTCATACCACGATAAGAGGTGGAGAGGAAATATAACACATTTGAACCCTCTGTCCTCGACATCTTGCAAGTAAGGAACACCTCATGAAATTGAAACTGAAAGGTTGCCCATGATGATAATGGCTGATAGGATGTCTGGCAATGGAGCAGGGCACCATTATGGTCACACCATCCAAGAGCGGATCAACAGAAACAGGATATATGAAGGAGTGACTTGTCCGATTATCCTATATAACAATGAACATACACCAGGCCTTGACACGAAATAACTACTGGAAAAACAAGTGACAATTCATAAATTCAATGAAATGCAACCAAGAAAAGCTGTCTACATATGTCTTCCATTAATTGATACCTTTTTGAGGTGCAAGCAGCTCCAAAATTGGCATGTCAGCAGGGATGAATTAAGTCAAGTTTCTCCCATTCCCAGCCACATGTTTCATTTGTTTCAAGACCCATATAAGCCTATGAAAGACATCCACAATGGATATGGATTATGCATCATTCAAACAGGCTTAGAACATCGAAAAGGGTAGGCACTGAGAGGTTCAAGATGTGGGTGCGCTTTTCAGTATTCATGTGCCTCTTCATAAAGTGACACAGCCATGGTCGCATTGATTATATACATTGTAGCATGATCACATTGTTTCCATCAGTCGTCTATTTTATCTTCATGAAGGGGCACTCCCATTGAAGTCCTGGTTACAGCTACATACAGCTACATCTAACATATATAAGCATGAATGGCCGCCTGCTTGTCTTGACATATTTGGATGTCACAAGCAAATTGTCGCATCATTGTCAAAGTGTGGTGGTAATCACCAAGATCCACAATGACAAATGCACTCATATGGACTGAAAAAAATCGTCAAGTCCATCAAGATTTAAACCCCAATATAACATAAGCAATTTGTATAAAGTCCATCCACATCCATCATCTGTCCATCACACTTGTTATACATCCATCACCAACATCACAAATCCATATACAAATTATATACAATGCCTACAATTACACAAGGACAGGCTTCAAAATCACTGACTCTCAAGCAGTGCACAGCACAAATGATGTGTACCCAACGAATGGTGAGTTTTCATTTTCCCTTAGTCCAACTTATATTTCATAAATATGACCATTAGAATGATCGTTTGAAGACATTGCATGAGGATGCACCATTCTGCAGTACTCATAGCGGATGGCATGCCCTACAAATTCCACTGGTTGGTATGATAGATGCATGCCAGCTGCACATCAACGATCAACCCCACCCTAACATAACAGATCTGGTGAGTTTAACTATTTTTATTATTATTAATATATGACATATTTTTGTGCTTAATAGAACACTCAAAATATTGTCATTGACGTATAGTTGGAGAATGTTAAGATAGAGCCTATTGATGAGAAGATAGGAGGCACAGTAAAAAGAGAGCACATTGATGAGAAGATTGGAGCGCTTATGAAGATAGAGCTGATGGAGGAGGAGAAGATGAGAGTGATCATAAAGCAAGAGCTCATTAAGGATAACATGAGATTGTTGATTGTGAAGATAGAGGAGGGGATGAGAGTGATTGTAAAGATTAAGGATATGTGAGTGGTTATGAAGGAATAGATAGATGCACTTTTGTCTATAGTTAATATACAACCATCTTAAATTACTATAGGTATGCAGTAGCCGGTTAGTTAGGCTTAATATATATTTTAATCATTGTAGTATATGTTTCATGCCATGTGTTGCACTCCCAGTGCCCAACAGCATTGATCATTTACATGTACACGTCGGGTGGTGTCAGCAGTAGGTCAGACTAAAACTAATCATATTCTACATCTAAGATGTCCTATGAGTAGCCAACCCCGACCAAAGATATTATGCACCAAACCCCTTCTTCCTTCAATTTATCCCAAATCATCTCTAGGTAGCTAGGACATTCCTTTTTAAAGTTCTCCAGGAGGCTCGCATAGTGATCCCATCCAATTCTAAAAAAAATCGATGATAAAATAAGCTGCTGACTAATGTCACAAGTAAAAAAAATTAAACCTAGGTTTGAAGTGCACTTCAGAAAAGTCTGTGGAATGTCCTCTCATGATACCTAATAAAAAACATTTAACCTGTAGATTCAAGTTTCATCAGTGATGAGTGAGAGGGATATAAGGTAGATGTAGGTCTCACTACACTTGATATCAATGCAAGAATGGGTATATTATTGAAAAATGGATTTTTCTTCTGCCTCCACTTTCTTCCTTCTCCCTTGTGACCCCATCATTACACAGATAGTAGCAGCCTGAAGATGGTGTTCTGGAGGAGAGAAGTGTCATCATAGATGAGATTCTGTATAGCAATTTCAAGCTTCAATATATCTAAAGCCTCTCAATAGACAGGACACTTACCTTAATATCAATTTCTCAGTATATGAATCTCATCTTCTCCAACTCCTCATGCTTTAGCTCTCCTATTCCACAGGTACTAGGGACACTGATGCGGGCTTTGGCAATGAACTCCCCTCTGAGTTGGCTGGCAGCCTTCCAAGTCTATGATATAGAATGAGTAACTGAGGTGCATCAAAGGAAAATACTCACATAGTCTATCAAGTAAGCTTTCAAGTCATCATCACTTTGAGTGAGTGACATCTTCTCCTACAATACCTCATTGTCCCTAGTGCTAGACACCAGTAGGTCCCAGCAGAGCTCCTCCCTGTTCAAAGCTGAAGAAAAGCTGTTAACTGTGGCTACATAGAGACACATTGCCTTGTAAGCAGAGATAGCTATGCACTTGGTACACGGGCTGTTCAGGTTGCTGAGTTTCACCTTACTCTTTGGAATACTAGTGATGCTGAAGTGCTTGTTGAATTTCTCGTCTTCTTTCTTCAGGCCTATAACTGTCTGGTGCGTTCCTCAAAAAGTTAGTCCAATTCTTTCTAGTATGCTGATACACTTACCTCCTCTCTAGCAAACTCTTTCTCCTCCTTATTTTAAATGCCCTCATCTACCTCATCTACCTCATCTACCACTTCCTCTTCCTAATTTTGGTGGTCCTCATCCCAGCCCTCTCTAACCTGGTTATCAATGTCATCATCCTCTATATTACTACTCAAGCCACCATCTAGAATCATTCTTACCATATTACTACTTTTATCATTCCTTTCAGGGGAATATAGGCAATGACAACAGCTGGTTGGTGGACTGTCACATACTAAGTCCTTGTCAGACCTCTCCTTGTCTTCTTCTGCCTCCTCTAAGAGACAATCAGCAGCATGCTTTCTGGAGGCTGAGACTTTAAGTTAGCGATAGTCTTTCAATTCTAGGATACTTACCTTTTTCTTAGCCTCAGCTGCATCCTCAGCTACCTTCTTCTTCTGAGCCAAATCCTTGAGAAGCTTCTCTTCTCCTACAGTCAATCCTGGGCCTTTGACTGCATTTTTGCCCCCTTTAGCTGATAAACTTGATGTAGGAGTAGCTTTTGCTCTGAAGGCAGGAGCAGCTTTTGCTCTTGAGGCAGGAGTAGCTTTTGCTTTGGAGCCACCCTAAGGTGTAGGCTTCACACTTATTCTTGAACTGTTAGTGCTAGTACGAGTAGATAGATAAGGGCCAGCTGAAGTCGTCTTTTTGGATGTCATAGATGGATGAGGTTGGAATAGAAAGCTGAACAAGTGAAATGAACTCATAAAATATAAACTTGCCAAGCGCAGCCACAGCAGACGTACTAGTAATCATTTTTTACCCATGCATCCATGTAAAAGTATCAAATAATGGTAGGGGTAGGTCATAAATATGTGAAGTGGGGGTGATCTTTTTAACCATTTTGATTTTTCTCCCATGTTTTAAACCTACCATCAGTATACATTATCAGAGATGCCCTCCTACCCAAATAATTCAAATTGAAATGAGTAGTTTCTCCTGACCTGAATATCACAAAGTCCCCATTCCTAAGTTCCATGACCAGCCTCTGCTCTCTCATCACTAGTCCACCACCAGTGAACTCCCCTACCGCCAGCACTAGGCATAGTTTAAAGTCCTTGGCATCCCTATGTGCCACCATGCACACATTAATATTCACCATCAATAAGAGAAAAGGTCTAACTGGAGATCCCAAAGCATTAGGCAGGATATCTATCAGCTTGACCAAAACCTTGTACCCATTAGGAAGGTGACATGAGATCTGATTAACCATCAACAAATAATTGTTGGAGTCAAATTCCGACTCACCTCTTCTTTGATCCATTCGAATACTTCACCCAAATTAGCCTGGATGTTTAGATACAGCTGCTGTTAAGTAAATATCTCTTTGGATGTGTAAAGTAAAGTCTGTCTAAGGTTAGTTCTTCTTCCTCCAGCAGCCTCTAGGTCATGAGGATGGACACCCTGCAGCGCAGTATGACCTTACATTCTGTCAAAAAGTGAAGACTCATCTCCAACAACACAGAGTGTCTATGTTGGAGGCAAACAGGCTCACTGCTGAGAAATTTGGCTATGCTCCTATTGATGAGAAGCACTTCCCTCCTTCCACGGATATTACATAGGTTGGAACGACACATGTTCTTCCCAAGCATGAGGAAGACAAAGAGTGTTGGATTTGTTAAAGGAAAGTCCCAGCATGGGCAAAAGTGGGTACCTACAACCTTACAACAGAGACTGTGAAGATGGACAAGCTATGTCTGGATTCCTCGGATTTCATGGGAGCGCTTTAACTATATTGGAAGGTTAGCACACTTTGCAATAGATGGATCAAGTTGTTCTATGGAGGATATTAGACTCAGAGAGGGATCATCAGCTGCAGTTAATAGGTTTGCACCTTTTGCTTCTGAGCTGGACTGGAGGGTAGCCTACTGAGTGATTCGGGATGACATAGGGCACAAGTCTTCTGACAGATTTTTGGCCATACCTGGAGTGTGTGCTGTTCATTATGGTATTGAGTTCATCTTACTGACTTTCTATGATAGGTTGCTGAGAATGGTCTATCATATCAGAACATACGCAGCTTACACAAGATTGTTGATGAAGTATCTCCTTGTGCTACATGGAAGAAGTGAGAGCTATGGTTCAAGAATGACCCGGAGGATAAGCACATAGTCCATCACCATGATCCCCTGGAGGCTATCAAAACATTACTGGGTAATCCGGCACATGCTGAACATGTAGTCTATAGGCCGAAGAAAATATATAGTGACACATCTCAGAGTAAGAGGATATATAATGAGATGATCCTCAGCGCAATATATTGTGTATGCACTTGAATCACAGGCCTTGTTATGAGATTGCTGTCTGTATATACTCAGAGTTGCTTCTAGTCATATGTGATAGTGAATGGCTAGTGAAATATAAGTGGTGATTAATGAGCCCCTCATCATGATTTTTTGTATGGTAGGAAATATCTATGTCTGAAAGCAAGGGTTGGAGATATCAAAGAAGTCAATGGAAGGGACCTTTATCTACAAGTTGAAATGCCTAGTACAAATGTAGTGTTAGTATCTTTAAAAAATATCAGAAATAAAAACTACTCACCTTGTCCTCAGTGACAATGAGTTCGACAATATAATCTATGAGTCCAGACTTCATGAATATGGGAATCTTTGGAGTCAGAGAGTTGTCCAAGGTTGCCTGATTGTCAGTTGCCTTGTAATCACAATATATGACATGATTGTGCATCTTGATTATAATGAATTTGGGGTCAACATCCATAAGGTTACCATCGTCAGTGGAGTCATCTAACTTTGATAAACCAACAGATATCAAATCAGCCATGGTATTATCACTGTCATTAAAGATGCTCTCTACAGAGATGTTCTTTAAGCTAATCCCTGGGTAGACATGGCAGACACCTACAGAATTCTTTGGTAGCACCAACAAATTCATCATGCATCACATCCTTTGAGAATGAAATATTATTACAAAAGACATCTGTAGTCTTCAAGGCAATGGATCGGTAAGTGTGTACCTCTTGAGCCTGAGGATAACAGTAGATCCGCCCACGTAACTATCAATCATTCTGTTCTGATCAAAGGATATTCTATCACAAATATCAACATGCAAGTGCTTACAATAATATACCCACCATGACTAACATTATATTAGCACAGGCCAAATTTAAGCCTACCATGCCTATGCCTGACAAAATCAAGACACACACTCCTTTAAACCATACAGATGACCTAAACTTATTCAAGATGTCCTTGCACTTTTTCATAAGGATTTAAGTTCCAGTGCATGTATGCCATGAAGGTCTAAAATCTGGAAGGTAGAATTGAGCCAAAAGGCTGCAGGAGCTAGTGCTGCTACAACTTCTGGTACTCATGGTACATGGCCACGCACACTTTCCATGTTCCAACACTAGATATGAGCCAAGTGAAACTACTCACTGACCAGGAACTTTACAATTTCTTCATGAAGTTGCTGGCAGTGCCAACTGGCACTTAAATGAGAGGTTGTGTAGTAAACACATATGTCATGGCATGGTAGATCATACTCTTAGTGTCTATGTAGAATTTCGGAGCACTATAGGTGAAAGTAGTAGCGGTAATTTTTGGATCCGATGTCCTATGTAATAAGACATGTGGTACTGCGGATATATAATAACACGGTCTACTGTGTTAGCAATGTGAAAACTGATAACTGCGCACCTAGTGGGGATAGATACAACAGGACAGGACATTGGGAGGACAAGTGCATGGGAAAGTATTGGGTCCGATGCGCGGGAAACATCGGGTCCGTCGGATTAGCATCAGACTTTATCGGATTAGCAGATAAATGTCGGATTGAGCAGATAAGTGTCGGATAACATTGGGAAGTGATTCGTGTGCGACATGCATAGGGAAATAGCTCAATACGAGCCTAGCACGAGGTCCAGTGCTACACCATGCACAAAGGGTAGGACTGGATCCGAGGGGCTTGGCTTCAGCTCGTGCGCTGCGCCCCTTACCCAAGTATATGCCCTTAATTTCAGAATGATGTCTGAAGAAAGTCCAAGGACGTCTGAAGGACATCTGAAGCGTGGGAAAGTTTGGAAGGACTTTCTGGACAAGTGCACCAGATGAGTGTGGGAAAGTTCTGGAGGAACTTCCAGAAATTACAATGAGGTTGTGTCCTGATATAGATATGTGTAATGACTACTCAGGACAAGTCCTGAGTAGAAGCAAACAGAGGAAAGGTTGCAAGGACAAAGTCCAAAGCAGAATAGGTCTGGAGGACCACGGGAGAGTTTTGGAGGAACTTCCGGAAACTTGTTTAGGAGTGGAGGAGTGGAGCTCTGGCCTAGGGAATTCCTTCCTAGGCCTAAAGTGTATGTTTAGAAAGAAAGGACCTAGTTATGAGGACTTAGTGTGAAGGCTAGTGCGAAAACTAATATGATATCCAGACTAAGGAAATACAGGAGTATCTACAGGAGTTTATATACTAGAGGCAAGTTTGTGCAGATCAGTAAGCAGAGGAGTAAGGCTATGTACGAGCATGTGGAAATATATTAGTAAGTGAAATGGATTATAGAAAATGAACTTGGAGATGAAACTAGTACAAGGATCAATAAGCAAAATGGAAACAGAGATAACCGAAGACCAGAGACAGGTGATTACCATAAGGGGATGGGCGCTGATTTAAGATTTGGGTTTCGATATGAAACATTGGTTAGATCCAGAGATCCTGAGAGGTGGATAGCAGATCAGGCGTCTGGATATTGGATCCAGGAATTGGACAGACTGTGCTTAGGGTGATGGGACAAAGAATGAATGATGCAGGCTAGCTGCGGAGGTATTAAAGTCCGATGTGCAGAGATATAGGGATCCGGATGTGGATGTGCAGAAGTGCAGGGCTCCAGATAGGTGGATATGCAGAGGTACAGAGATCTGAACAGATAGAGGACTGGAGACATGGATAGGAGGTCCAGAGGTCCAGATGAGGTGTGGGAACATTGTCGGACATAGGTCCAGAATACGGGATATGACAGCCATAGAGTGCTCGGTGAAGTATTTAAAATGAGAGGAACAGTCATTGCTGCATCCTTTATTTGTAGTTATATTGCTTGAATTGATATTGGATTATAGTATATATTCAGGATCAGATTGATATAAGATGATGCTATTAGAATTTAATATTTCAGCTGGCTGACTTTAAAACATCCTATGACCATCACTGCCACCACCACTGCTGGAATTGTGTGACAATTCATCACCTGACATGAAGGAAATACCATCATCCAAGATTATATTTACCATACTAACCTCACAGATGTGATAAGGTACTAACTTTGGAAAATTGTGGCATCTACAACTGGTCAGTGGTATATCTCTACATGAGATATCTTGCATGACTGCCACAATTGGTTACTTGTCACCACCAGCCAGCATAAACATTGGAGTGGGGCACCCCCTAGCAGGGGGTGAGCAAGGTAGAGAGCCAGCAGGGGTTAGCAGAGTCCAGCGGAGGCCGATAGAGTGAGACAGCAAGGGTCGGGTTAGCTTAGTCAGCAGGAGAGCCTTTCACAGGCAGTTGTTGTAGTCAATCATCATCCATTCCACCAGGACACAGCAGGCTTGCACATTGGCTGGAGCAGCCACTCCATCGTGGTGAGAGAGTGAGATTCGGGTTTCGCAATAAGCTTCTGCCGATATTAAAAGCAAAAGCCGATTGGACAAGAACACGACACCACAGCCTCAAAAAACGTCAACGAACGCACCTCAATGCACACATAGAAAAGCCTCGCAATGGCCCCCAAGAAAGCAACCAAAAAAAAGTTACCTGAACGAGGAACAGACGGTCGATTCCTTGCATCAGATAAAAGCCTAAACTCTTCCACTACCGCTTCTTCACTTGCAACATCAGCTAATTCGTCTCCTTTAGACACACCAGAAGTCGTAAATCGCAGCCTACCGGACACTACCTCAGATAACGGAGAGTACAAAGCTGACCTTGAAGACAATCAGGAGAAAGACGATGATTTAGACTCGTTACCAGGTGCTCCTAATCCAGAAGCTATCATTTGGCCCACAGAAGACATTCCATCGCCCCCATTTAATCCGACAGAACAGACCCAGAAATTCAGCCGTAAAACCCCGTTACCAGCCTCATTGCCCACCGCATTAACACCAGTAAAACCGTTAACGATAAGGCTTCCCATACTGCCGATAACACCCCCAAACTCGCAGCTCACAGTACAAACATCAGCCCAATCTCCAACGTCACGCAGAATGTCCAGTAACTCCACGCCAGGATGGTTCCATAGCAAACCGGACGAGAATGCCCAGAACTTCTTAAGGGAGGTAGACCGCTACATAGTACTCAGCGACTTAAAGACCGAAGCCGCAAAAGTCATTGTGTTTAGCACACTCCTCTCAGCGGGATCGGTCGCAGACTTATGGTGGACCAAGTTAGACAGCTCGAAGAAGACAACATGGGCAGACGTACAGAGCGCGTTCACCAGTAGATGGTTGGCAATCACCATCGCAGAGAAAACAGGCCTGGACTATCAACAAGAGATACTAGCACTGCGCATCAATGAAGAAGAGCTAGGAATGCAGGTCACAGTAGCAGGAGTCCCAACCTGGGCTCACCTACGGTTTCACGCTCAGATACAACAACTCGTCAACGAAGCAGGGACAAGTGAGACAGCGGGCCTAGTTTATCAAGTGAGAGAGAATATGCCGATGGTGATCAAAGATTTCACCACCCCGGGGCTCGCGGATTGGACAAAGTTCTTGGACGAGATCAAGGCCATAGACACGAATAAGCTGTGGGAGAAAGCAGAAGCAGTAAGGAAGAAGAGGGAAGTGGAGAAGGCGCAGAACACCCGTTTAGCCAGACTCGAAGGTCTGCAGACAGATGCAATCGAGGTCTTACGCTTACAGCTCCAACGCACCAATCTTGGAACCACGCAGTCCGGAATTACAGCATCGAACACCACACCCTATTCATCCAACAACACAATGTCTCGCATATGCGATGTACCCAGAACGTCCACGGCTAGACCACCAGTGCGGCAACGTCAACCGCTTTCACCAGAGGAGAAAGAGATGTTGCGCAGTGGAGTCAACGATATCCCACACCAACCAGACACTGCTGCAGGCATCACCACGTACGAAGAGCAATTGAAGCAGTGGTTTGCCAAGTACGGGCAAGATGGTAGAGTCAACGAGAGCACGCAGTTCCCCCTTTGCCCAGGTAGTGCGATGATATGTTCTGGAGAATGCTTCAAGTGCGGATCTCATGGACACATCGCAGGAGCATGTCCGGCACCAGAAGCATCCCAGTTGGTCATACAAGAGAAGATATGGCGCAGTATAGCGGCACGAGAACTAGGGAACTTCAACCAAGGACACGCAACACAGATCGATCTAATGTTTGAGGAGGAATACGCGCAGCGATGGGAGCAGGGAAAAGGACAAGGGTCGTCAGTGTAGAGGAACACAAGACGACCCAAGCAAAGCATGTACCTCACCCAGTTGAACAATCGGTCCTCGTATGTGAAGAGGCAACGTACGAGGACCAGCCCATCAGCCACGTCGAAACAGTTATAGGCAAAGACTCTGTCAATGTACCAACAACAGATGAGCTATACGAGATCATTGATTTGTACTCGATGGAGGATGTTAAGAACAACGGGCACCATATCCAACATTGTTTACCATTTCGGCATCACACATCATTCATAGGCCCGCGAGGAGAAGTAGTGCGAGTTCAGGCACTGTTTGATGAAGGCGCCATGATTAGCGCCATGTATGCATCAGTTTTCAACCGAATCAAGCATTGATTAGGAAACTGGAGCCCATCAATGAAACACCTTTGCATGGCCAACGGAACGATCATCCCATCAGAGGCTGTATGGAAAGGAGAAGTCGTAATTGGAGGAATCCGGGCGGTGGGAGAATTCGAAGTCTTCCAAAGCGGCGGAGGATGGGAATTCCTCTTTGGGAAACCACTACTACGAACGTTCAAGGCAGTCCATGACTACGAAGTTGATGAGGTCAGCGTCACAGGAGTAGGAGGCACAGCAATACTGCGCAATCGTATACCGGCAAGGGAGATCAAAACAGCTAAGGTCAAGGAAGCAGTGGGAATACAGGGAGTCACAGAGGAAGTAGAAGTGGGAAACCTTCAAAGGCGAGTCGACGATTTTGAATCAAGCACAGTACTCACACAAGAATCAACAGGAATCAGCACACATGGAAATGAGGACACAGAAGACATCATACCAATATGCATCAATGCGGATGAAGACCCAATACCACCGGCTGAGTTAGACACGCTACTGAAAGAAATCTCCACTGACTTTTTGAAGAATGACGCAGCAGTATACACGAGGCTCACAGACCCGCACAACCCTCTGAGGATCGTTTGGATTACTAAGCGCATCCAATACGGCGAGGACTTAACTCCAGAAGAATTAAAAAAGGTCAAAGCATTAGTCACCGAATATGCTGACATTTTTGCATGTTCACTAGGAGAAGTTATACCAGTGCCGGGGGCAATCCACAAACTGAATATACCAGATGGGACAATGTTTAACCTGCAAGTCCACCAAAGACCTCTCACACCGCCGCAACTACAGTTCCTACACGGTAAGGTCGATGAGATGCTGAAAGCAGGGATCATTGAGCACGCACCTCCGGAACTCGTCAAATGTTGCGCAAACATGGTCTTGGCAAAGAAAGCGCACGAACAGGAAGGGATGACGCTGGAAGAACTTCAAAGGGCCGTCAACAACCAGTGTACGCAACATGGTCAACCACCGGCATTCACCTTACCAGAGAAGGAAGTAGTCGAGGGCCCTGAAAAGGAGAACTCAGCAAATAAGCCGCAGAAGTGGAGAATATGCCAAAATTTCAATGAGGTCAATCGCGTCACAAACATAGCACCAATGCCACAGGGGGATATTAGGGCCAAACAGTTGCGACTTAGTGGCCATAGGTACATGTCAGTATTTGACTTCGCATCAGGATTCTATGCTGTTGAAGTTCCAGAGGAATCACGGCCCTTCACAGTGTTCTATGTCGCAGATACTTCTGGTATAAACGAATGCCAATGGGTCTGATGGGTGCTCCATCGACATTCTCAGAAATGACAGCAACTAACCTACATGATATACTAGCCGACAGCACTATGGAACTATTCGTCGATGATGGAGGGACCACAGCAGATACTTTCAAGGAAATGATGGAGAAACTAACGCGAATATTCAAGAGATGTTGCGAGCGCAAGATTTCTCTCTCTCCTACGAAGTGCCGTTTATTCATGACTGAAACTACGTTTGCAGGTGCCACGATAGGACCCAAAGGTGTTCAACCAGACTTAGCAAAACTCACAGCAGTAGTCAATTGGGAACAACCACGAGACGCACTAAACCTCGAATCGTTTCTAGGGCTCACCAGTCACTTCCGAGACCTAATCCAGAATTACTCCAGACGAGAAGGGTCTTTGCGTGATCTAGTTGAGGCCGCACCACTGACAGTCCCGTACACGATGAATACATACAGACACACCTTACGCAACTTCAAACTCGACAATCTATGGACAGAACAACACACAAAAGCATTCCTGGATCTAAAGGCAGCTCTTGTGTCGAAACCCATACTGCAAGCTCCAAGGTACGACGGCTCGAATTTCGTAGTAACATCTGATGGCTGCGCCGAGGGTTTTGCAGCAGTGCTGTCCCAGAGAACCCGCACGCAAAATCCAACAGGTAAATGGACAGAACACCTCCACCCAATCGGATTCGCCTCAAAACGAACATCAGCAACAGAGCAAAATTACAAACCCTTTTTGTTAGAATTTGCCGCACTGAAATTTGCACTAGACAAATTTTCGGACATTATCTGAGGATTTCCAGTAGAGGTCAAAACGGACTGTCAAGCGTTGAAAGATGTTCTAATCAGTAATCATTTAAACGCAGTGCATACGAGATGGCGAGATGGAATACTGGCTCACAACATCGTAGATGTGCGACATGTACCAGGGAAACTCAACGTAATTGCAGACGGACTCAGTCGACAATGGGAAGGCCATCCTCAGAATGTCGGATTAGTCGACAGAAGCGAGTGGACAGTAAGCGAAGATTGGGAATTTAGCTCGGGTTTGATCAATGATCTACTGTTAATATCTACTAACATCGATGAATCCACAGCGTCGAACCTCCAAACAAGATTCATGAATGAACCGGTGTTTCTCGAGGTCGTTGAGGCAATGCTACAAATTGACCAAGGTAGAGAAATCCGAAGCCAGAAACGTGCAAGCCATCAAGCCTCACAGTACCTAATACAAGAAGGGAAACTGTGGCGATTGCGGGGAGGAACAGCAGTACGAGCACGAACCAAGGTCGAATGCGTCACGAAGGAGGAAGCAAAGACACTAGCAGCAAAGCAACATGCAGAAGGGGGTCACTGGGGACGGGATGCTATCAAAATTGCACTAACCGATCGCATTTACAGCTCGAAGCTTGACGTATCTATCATGGCAGCCATTAGCGAATGCAGCAAGTGCAAAAACTTCGGTACACCCCACCTTCATTCATTGTTAGAACCGATAACGCGGAGGCATCTGTTTGAATTGTTAGTAGGAGATTACCTTACTCTGCCAAAAGCTCGAGGATACAATACACTCGGAGTATACCTGGACACGTTTTCGCAGCATATATGGGCATTCAAGTACAAGTCAACGGGTACTGCAAAAACGACAGTGAACAGTCTATCGCACATATTCCGGAATTTCACAGCATCGGAGACCTTTATGTCAGATGGAGGCAGACACTTCAACAACGTTGTAGTTCAAGACTTTTGCACTAAGTGGAATTGTAAAACTCACGTTGTAGCCGCATACTCACCCTGGATCAATGGATTAGTAGAGGGCACAAACAAAATCCTGTTGCACGTTCTCAAACGATTATGCGCCCTGAACCTCGGAGAAGATGATTACGAAGGACTCACGTGGGACAGACTTCCATTGAACTGGCCAGACCAGTTGGATGATGCAATTACCGCATTGAACCATCAGATACTCCCAGCGCTCAAATTTTCACCAAAAGAATTACTTCTCGGACAAGTAGTCAACACGCCACGTACAGATCTCAGCAATTGCACATCAACAATACGCACAGCAGACATCACCATCCATATGGCATACGTAGCGCAACAACAGCTCGATGGCTATGATGCAGCTGTATCACATGCAATTAAGAGAAAGGCAGTATTCAACAAATGTGTCCTAGAACGAAGTCCAGGTGAGGTTATATTCTATACAGGACAATTGGTTCAGTTCTACCACAGCAATATGGACTACATGTTCGAAGCCAAATGAAAATTGTTACCTAAATGGTCGCCACCTCACCGCATCGCAGCACGGATATGCAACTCATACAAACTCGAAACACTACGCGGAGAAAGTATCACAGGAGAGTTCCACGCCAGACGACTGCGCGCATTCATACCAAGAGAAGACACCAAGTTAGCCGAAGAACAGCGAGAGCTTGAAGAAAACTTAGCAAAGCAAAGAGAGAACGAGAGTAGAGCGGAAGAGTCGCATATAGAAGAAGTACCAGAAGAAGAAGATAACACGGACGAGGAAGAACACAACGACGAAGAAGATAACGAAAACGAAGAGTCAGAAGGGAGATGTTAGACAAGACCCATAGTGGGTGAGAGGGCACGAGTGGATCAGATGAGGTGACAAGGGCACCGCCAGGTTTTTTTCAAGGGGGGCACATGGAGTGGGGCACCCCCTAGCAGGGGGTGAGCGAGGTAGTGAGCCAGCAGGGGTTAGCAGAGTCCAGTGCAGGCTGATAGAGCGAGACAGCAAGGGTCGGATTAGCTTAGTCAGCAGGAGAGCCTTTCACAGGCGGTTGTCGTAGTCGATCATCATCCATTCCACCAGGACACAGCAGGCTTGCACATTGGCTGGAGCAGCCACTCCAACATCTCAACAGCATTGGCACAACATAAGTATGAATTAGTTGATGTGTTATTGACAAGTTTGATAGATAATTTTAATGTATATACCACCACCAATAGGATAAACCTCTATACTTCAACAACTCCTCCAACAGAACAGCAACATGCTTCAACAGATCTGCAAGGAGCCAGTGAAGGGAGGGATGGAAGTTGGTCTATCCTTAAAATCAATGATCTGATACTGTGCATCACCAAACTTGACTTCATGTAGCATCAGCTTTGAAAACTTCTCTTTGTTGAGCCTATCTGTCAAGAGAGTATATACCGCACAACTATTATGATTTCTCCTACAACCTGTGTTGGGTTTGCAAATGTTGATTTTGTGAAAATTTCACCATAGACCTTGATGAGGCAGCAAAGTGGAAGTGCTATATCGAATACACTGATCCACACATCTGTCTCATACTCAATGGAACATACTTGTTTGTATTGATACATATGAAGATCTGGCATATCATAAC